GCAATTGCCTTCCTTTCTCCCTTCCTGTGAAGCTTTCGTCATTTTTGTTACATCTGTAACTATCGTCTGACTTCGGCAATCTTCATACCGGCTTTACTTTTTTCTGGTAAGCTACTGTTCCTTTCGTTTTCAATTCTGTTGATATTCTTCATTACTTGTTGCCATTATTGTTTCAAATCTTGCGAATCACATATCTGAACATATTTATTCAAATGGTTTTGATCTTGCCCATATCTTGAATACATACTGCTCACCATTTTCTTGCACTCTTGTTACTGTTCTTGACCCTTTATTTCTCGTATTCTTTATGCTCTTGATAGCCCATCCCTGTTCTTGATTCTAAAGCACGTCTTTGCCTTTCTGTCTTCCAGATCCGTGCCTTCAACCCTTGCTTTCATAGATCTAGGTTTGGGATTTGTTGTGCAGAACCCATAATTTAGGAAAAAACTGAAACTAGTACTTTACCTATATTTTTGCCGAGGTCTTATTAACCCTCTCAAAACATTTTTTCTCTGAAATCCAACCTCTCTAATTCAGGTCGATATCATGGGTATGTGGAGACATAGGGTAGATACCCCGACCAAACTTGAGTACTTTAGGCAAGAGTTCTCTATCCCTACCGATGTCCATCTGAGGCTGGCTGGAGATAACGACTCCATCATGCCCACAGATGATTCGATGCCCTTTCCCATTGTAGCTTTCACTGAGTGCGGACTTCGGCTCCCACTCAACATCCTTTTTTGTGAGATTCTTCACTATTATAAGTTAAACCCCATGCAACTGGCAATCAATTCCTACCGAGTGATCCATGGTGTCATTGCCTTAGCTAAACAGGAAAACGCTAGAATCACCCTAGCCGATATCCAGTATTGCTATACCATGTGTGCCCTTAATTTGAAAGAAAAAGGCTACATTTATTACCTTAAGCCGAGATCTACAGAATTCAAAATCGTAGCCGACCTCCCAGACTCCAACAAGGGGGCTGAAGATGACTATTTCATTACCTCGGGAAATTGGGAGTTTGCTCCAGACGAGGACATCCATCTCTACCCTCTTCCTCAATTAGTTTTAGAGGGCAAAGGTAAGAGCCCAGTATTCAGCTTTGCCTGTTTTCTTTCAAAGTCTTAAATACTTTGTCTGTTTCTGACGTCTGTTATTCTTGCAGCTGTTCGTAAGCCACCGAAAAATTTTCGCCAATCTTTTGTTCCCAACAAGGATTTGAAGAAACTTCTGGACTTGCCAGTCCATAGAAGGAAAGCGCCTGTGCTTCTCAATTTTATTCCAACATATAAGTCAACTTTGCCCAACGTTCCCAAAAGGAAGAAGAAAAGCCTTTTTCCACCCTCTGCTACAACTCCATTGACTGCATCCACATCACGAACAAATCAAGGATCAACATCCGATCCAACTGATCAGCCATCAACTTCGGCTCCATACCTGGTCCCAATATCAGAACGAAAACGTCGGCGACGACTTGTCCTTACTGCCGAGATGGGCCGCCCAAAACCAGTTGCAAAAGACCTCTTAGCCAGCCTCCCTTCTGATGTTGAAACTCAGCCAACAAAAACCATGCCCCCACCAAAGCTGAAAAGAGTTAGAAAGGCTCAGCCAAAGGCTAAAGTAACTTAGGTTGAATTTGAGGATACTTTACCTATTTCCAAGCTGGCTGAGAGTGACAAATCTCAACCCTCTACTGGGAAGAGGCGCTCTGAAACTCAGCCATCAGAATCTCAAAAATCAAAGAAGCCGAGGTTATCCTCTACAACGACCTCGGGGTCCAAAATACCAGACGTCCCCTGGGCGTCTGAAATTACTCTAGAAGATAAGCCTGTTATGGCTAGTGATAGCGCCAATGACATCAATGTCGGCGTCGCGCTCAGTACTGCTCTACTTCTTCCAGGCGATCTTGACAGGAACGCCAAGATGAGCGAGTATGAGAACTATGCTTTCATGCTTCAACGTTCTGTTCAAGTAAGTGTCTTCACCTGGTAACTTGTCTTTCTTTCTCCTTTTCATACTTGTAAAATTTTTCAAATAACTTTTGCCTTGTGTTTTTTCAGGCCATTCAGTATGCCCATTCTCTCTCCATGCAAGCCTTTGAAAATCGGGAGAAATTGGTCGACATGAAGAGGGAGTTTTCTGCCCTTCAAAAGGCCAATAAAAACCTTCAATCAAAAGTGAAGAAGTTGGAGGATCAGGCTAAGGCTGCTATCAAAGCCCAGACTGAGGCCGAAGAGAAGGCCGATTCTGCCGAAGCCATAAGGAAGGTTGCTAAGTCCCAGAGAAAAAAGGCCAAGGAGAAAATGGCCCAGGCCGAAAAGGAGCTTCAGGAGGCCCTGGCCACCAAAGACACCGAAATCAAAGAAGCTAATGAAAAGGCGTACACTCAAGGCATGGCCGACGTTACTGGGGCTTATGAACTTCAAGTGAAGCAGGCATGCAACAAGGGTTTCACCCTTGGTTGGATGTCTCTTCTAAAAAAACTCAATGTCCCTGATGATTCGCCTCTGAGGAATGTCGATGATATTCCTCTTCCATTCCCTCCACCTCCTCCACCAGCTCAGTTCGATAAAGATTCAGAATCTGAAGATGAGAAAGAGGATGATGCCTTGGTGAGAAAAGCAAAGGAGGCTACTGCGCCCAAGTCCCCTCCTCAAAATGAACAAGTCCTAGACTTAACTCAAGACGAGGAGGTTGAGGAGGTTCCCAAGGATGTGATTCCTCCAAAGGTATCATCGGATTCACTTCTTGCTGATAAGAGTATTAATGAGACCCTTGCCCAAATTGATGCCGAGATCGCGGCGGAGAAGGCGGCCGAGGTATCTTCTCAGCAGTCCTCTGACGTTCAAACCCAGCCTGCTGTCGATGTTGGGGAATCTTAGTTTTGATGTCATGTCTTTTCTTTTCTTGTCTTTTGTACTCTTGTACTTCTTTGTTTCTTTAGACGATGTAAGTTTTGCATATGGCCGATGCGCCTTTTTGTGAATGCTAACTCATCTTTCTTTTTCTGAATGCTTGTATCTTTGTCTTCTTCTAACTGCTCTTGCATGATTCTATACTTAGAATATTTTGCATGTCTTATGTACACTTCCTTCTTTGTGCAATCTTCTCGGGGTGACACACCTCGGTTATGCCACCTGACGATTTACCTCGGCAAGTAATTGTCCTGTAAATTGCTTACAAATTTCAATAAGGATTAACATATACTTTTTTAATTTCTATTTTGTAAACTTTTCTTGAGTTATAACAAGTGCCAAACAATGATTTTGGTTTAGCTTCAACTTGTAAATTGCTACAAATTTCAACAAGCGTTAAGCATTACTTCGGTTGGTTTAACTTCAACTTGTAAATTGCTACAAATTTCAACAAGCGTTAAGCATACTTCGGTTTAACTTTAATTTGTAAATTGCTACAAATTTCAACAAGCGTTAAGCATACTTCGGTTTAACTTTAATTTGTAAATTGCTACAAATTTCAACAAGCGTTAAGCATACTTCGGTTTAACTTTAATTTGTAAATTGCTACAAATTTCAACAAGCGTTAAGCATACTTCGGTTTAACTTTAATTTGTAAATTGCTACAAATTTCAACAAGCGTTAAGCATACTTCGGTTTAACTTTAATTTGTAAATTGCTACAAATTTCAACAAGTGAAGATAAACAATAATCTCGGCTTAACTTCAACTTGTAAATTGCAACAAATTTCAACAAGTGAAGATAAGCAATTATCTCGACTTAACTTCAACTTGTAAATTGCTACAAATTTCAACAAATGAAGATAAACAATTATCTCGGCTTAACTTCAACTTGTAAATTGCAACAAATTTCAACAAGTGAAGATAAGGAACCATCTTAGCTTAACTTCAACTTGTAAATTGCTACAAAATTCAATAAGTGAAGATAAACAATTTTGTCTTCTCTCTGCCCACTCGTAAATTGCGAGTTCCACTTGGGTTCTCATTATTCAGAAACAATCATTATGCATCTTTTATCAATTCACAAGTCTTTGGAGAACTCTGCTAAAATTTTATTGATGATGTCGGTAAGAAGTAACAAAGAACATTTAATGATAGAAAAATTTCAATTTACAAGTGTTCCAGGGTCTTGGCAACTCTTTGCCCTCATTATCTTCAAGCCGGTATGCTCCATTACCCAATACTGAAGTAATTTTGTAGGGTCCTTCCCAGTTTGGGCCAAGCTTGCCCTTTCTGGGATCCTTCTTGTTGCCAACAACTTTTTTTAGGACTAGGTCGCCGACTTGAAAATCCCTTGGATTGACCTTCTTATTGTAAGCTCTAGCAAGCTGCTGATGGTATACTGCGAGCTGAATTGCAGCTTTCTCCCTTCTTTCTTCTAAGAGATCCAGATCTCGGGCTAGAAGTATATCATTAGTTCCATTCTCTACTCCCTGGGTTCTGATCCCTGGTATGCCGATCTCTAGTGGGATGACTGCTTCTGTGCCGTAAGCCATGGCAAAGGGGGTTTCCCCTGTTGATCTTCTCGGCGTAGTCCGATATGCCCAGAGTACACTGGGCAACTCATCTACACACTTTCCTTTTGTTGCCTGCAGCCTCTTCTTTATCCCATCCAAAATTACTTTGTTGGATGTTTCTGCTTGCCCATTGCTTTGGGGAAAACTTGGTGTTGAAAAGTAATTCTTTATCTTGAATTTCGCACAGAAGTTCTTGATGAGTTTGCTGTCAAACTGCGTTCCGTTGTCGGCAACTATTGCTCGTGGAATGCCAAATCTGGTGATGATGTTTCTCCATATGAAGTTCTTGACGTCCACATCTCGGATTTTGGCAAGAGGTTCTGCTTCTATCCACTTCGTGAAGTAATCTGTTGCTACCAGCAAGTACTTCCTTTGCCCAGTTGCTTGGGGGAACTGCCCAACGAGATCCATGCCCCATTGGGCAAATGGCCATGGACTGGATACAGGGTTCAGGTCAGCAGTTGGCTGGTGTATCAAAGGTGCGAACCTTTGGCATTGTTCACACTTCTTTACGTTAACGTCTGTGCTAACGTGCGTGCCAAAATTGCTTGTGATGCCCATTCTGCACAAACCAAAATCTAAAATCTTAGCTACCCAAGCCTTGTCCAACAGAATATTTGTGGTTTTCATATCTCGGTGTATGACACATTGCTGAGTACTCGTGTGAAGGTAGTCCAATCCACGTGCAACACCAATGCAAATGTTGAGCCTTTGCTTCCATGATATGTGACAAATATTTCCACTGGTATTAATTTTGTAGAGATGATTAGCAAGGGTACCATTCTCTATATACTCATAAACAAGGATCATCTCATCGCCTTCTTCACAATAGCCTATAAGACTGACAAGATTATTGTGTCGAAGCTTGGAAAGCATCTCAATCTCTGTCCAAAATTCATGTGCACCCTGCTTAGACATTGAATTCAACCGCTTTATAGCGACAGTGGTTTCCTCACCACCAACGAGTCCTTTGTAGACCTTACCAAATCCACCACTTCCAATGACCAATTCATCATCGAAGTTGTTGGTCATAGATTGAATCTCAGCAAGTGAGAAGCGACGACACAACCCTTCAGACGGTAATGATGAAGCAGATTTGATCTCTGTGACTGAGAAATGTCTGCAGAGACTAGGCGGCAGTGATGAAGCGTTAGTCTTCGTGGACTTCGACGTGTGCAAAATTGAAAATTGGACCCATGATGACTTGACCACGCTTGCACCGGAGTCTCTCACCCTCCTCCGACACCGGAAAATCAAGAAACCAATCACTGAAATCAAGAATACTCCGCTGATTACACCTCCGGCGACGGCCAAGACCAACGACAACGACGTTTTACTATTCTGTTTGCCCGGTAGCTTTGGATATGGTGCCGGCGGTGCGGGAACGTATTCAGGATTGAGCCCGGCGAGACTTCCGTCCGATTTACTCAATTTGAAGATCTCTAAACCGTTCAAGATTGCATCAGCGTACCTGGGCTTGGAGTCCATATTCGGGGACATCGCCAGCCACAAATCCACCTTACTCCGGAGACCATCGACGACTGGGACTGAAAGAACATAATCTTTGAAAACAGGAATTCCGCGACCCCCACTCAAGTGTATAACATCAACCTTTTGATCAGCGGTCTGATTATTCATGTACACAGAAAATATCCTCTCATGTTCTGTGGTTACCACCAGTTGAAACTCGCAAAAATGAAGCCTAGCCAGGTACAGGAACCCAGAGTCAACGGTGAAGATCCAAGTCAAATTGTACTTCAAGTTTTCCTTTGGGTCATTTCCCATGGTCCGAGCCGTAGTGTACACAGTCGCCGGAGCAGTGTAATTCGGTGTCTTAGTGTACCGAATTGGGACCTCAAGGTGAGGCACCAAACCAACGGCCGCGCCGTATATATACATGTCATCTGGATGCCACGGCCGGTACATGCCGGTATCGTCATTCACAGACACCTCGTTGCCACCGACGTTTAACCGGTACAGAGTTTCAATAGCAGTCTTGTTATCGATATAGATAAATTGTTGATAGCCAACAAGAGGGATAGGATTGTCGCCTTTCATGTAGAAATTGTTGGGAATCGAAACGACTTCGATGCCGTTGATAAAGGCGTATGAATTGGGAGATGGGTTGAATGTTATGTCGAGCTTTTGGGTGTCTCTGACATTGACAATGTACTCTTTGACAAGAGAGGATTGTTGGGGAACCAAAGCAGAGACGGTGAGGAAGGCACTGAAGTTGGTTAGGAGGGTGTAGTTTGCAGCGGTGACGGAGAAGTAAGATTTTGATCTGTCGAGATTTGAGTAGGTGGCTGGGT